CGGATGCCGTGAGTACCGCGTGCTACGTGTTAAATCGAGCCGTCATTAGACCGATACTCAAGAAAACGCCCTATGAACTTTACAAAGGAAGAAAGCCTAACCTCTCCTATTTTCATGTCTTTGGATGTAAAGTTTTCATTCATAATAATGGAAAAGATAACTTGGGAAAATTTGATGCTAAGTCGGATGAAGGAATTTTCTTAGGTTATTCTCTTCGTAGTAAGGCATATAGAGTGTTCAACAAGCGTACTAAGACCGTAGAGGAGTATATTCATGTTGTCTTTGATGAATTTGATGCTCGCTTGGCGAGAAAATGTATTGTTGATAATGTTGCAGGTTCTTATGATGATGAAGAAGAAATCGTTAAGGAAAAGGACTCGGAAGAAGAGAAAACGCAGGAACAAACGGAGCTTCCTAAGGAATGGAGAACATTGAAGAACCACCCGATTGACAATGTCATTGGTGATCTAACGCAGGGAGTTTCTACTCGTAATTCTCTTAGAAACACAGTTAATCATATGGCCTTTGTTTCACAAATTGAACCAACAACCGTTTTGGATGCTATTAATGATGAACATTGGTCTATGGCAATGCAAGAGGAGCTTAACCAATTTAAACACAATGATGTTTGGGAATTGGTGCCTAGACCTAATGATCATTCCGTTATTGGCACAAAATGGGTGTTTCGTAACAAACTCGATGAAAATGGTATAATGACTAGAAACAAAGCTAGGCTTGTAGCTAAAGGCTACAATCAAGAAGAAGGCATTGATTATGAAGAAACTTATGCACCGGTTGCACGTTTAGAAGCTATTCGTTTATTGCTTGCATTTGCATCTACAATGGATTTTAAACTTTATCAAATGGATGTTAAAAGTGCCTTCCTTAATGGTATCATTCAAGAGGAAGTTTATGTCGAACAACCCCCGGGTTTCGAAGACTATGAGTTTCCTGAACATGTCTTCAAACTCAAAAAGGCGCTTTACGGTCTCAAACAAGCACCTCGTGCTTGGTATGAATGGTTAAGCAAATTTCTTTTGGACCATGAGTTCAAACGGGGTCAAGTCGACACTACTCTTTTTATCAAGAAAGATAACCAGGACACCCTTTTGGTTCAAGTTTACATAGATGATATCATATTCGGTGCTACTAACGAGGTTTTGTGCAGGGATTTTTCTGATATGATGCAAAGTGAATTTGAGATGTCGATGATGGGAGAATTAAAGTTCTTCCTTGGGCTACAAATTAGACAATGCAAAGAAGGGACATTCGTGTGTCAAACGAAGTATTGCAGGGAATTGCTTAAGAGATTCGATGTTACCGAATCCAAATCCATTGACACACCGATGAGCACCTCTTGCTATCTCGACAAGGATGAAAAAGGTAAAGAGGTAGACATAAAACACTACCGAGGTATGATCGGCTCTTTACTTTATCTTACTGCGAGTAGACCGGATATCATGTACTCTGTTTGTATATGCGCTAGGTATCAATCTTGTCCTAAAGAGTCGCACTTGGTTGCGATCAAAAGGATAATGCAACATCTCGCGGGCACGTTGAACGTAGGTCTTTGGTATCCCAAAGGTTCGACATGTCATCTTGTTGGCTATTCCGACTCGGATTTTGCAGGTTGCAAACTCGATAGGAAAAGTACCAGCGATACGTGCCACTTATTCGGTCAAGCGTTAATCTCGTGGTTTAGTAAGAAACAGGTTAGTGTTGCACTTTCCACCACCGAAGCGGAATATGTCGCTGCGGGAAGCTGTTGTGCCCAAATTCTTTGGCTAAAACAACAACTAGTGGATTTCGGCCCCATACTTGATCACATCCCTATTAGGTGTGACAATATGAGCGCTATCAGTCTAACGAAGAACCCTGTTCTTCACTCGAGGACTAAGCACATAGAAATTAGGCATCACTTCATACGAGATCACGTCCAAAAGGGAGATGTCACAATTGAGTTTGTTGAAACGAAACATCAATTGGCAGACATTTTCACGAAACCCCTTAGTAGGGAGAGCTTCTTCCACATTCGGAACGAACTTGGAATTTTGGATATCTCTATGAACTAATCCATTCTTTTTATTGACTATACTAATTTGAGCGTCGGAGGCGCGATAAATTCTTTTTGCAGGGCTTTTATTGTAGGTATCTCTTCCCTTGGTATTCAACCGAATT